AACTCTTTTAAGTGCTTTTACATGGATTATCTTTTTTTCCCCCTCAGAGAACTCCTGTAAGCTATATTTTATTTTCACCTATATTTTGTAGATAAGAAAACTATGACTTGGAGGAATTAGGAAATATGTCAAAGATCACATGTCAAACGGGGAGGAAGGATGGAATTTGAAGCAATTAGGATCCAAATTACTATTTACTAGGTACTTAATATTTAATCAAACACTATGATAAGCATGATTTGTGCATGATCTCATTTGAATTCCAGAAACAAGCCCCTGTACTTGGGCCTTGGAAGATTTTAAAAAATGCCATGGTTCCAGCTTTTGGTAACTCATTATCTGGTATCTCCCTCTAAGTTAATGAGCAAAATAAAGCAATTCTGTCAAACTCCACTGAGGCTTTGAGAGCTTTTGGCTTAGAAGAATTAAGAGGAGGCAACTGTATGTGTGCACCATGTCACATAAGCACCATTTTTCATTTTGAATGGAAAAAGCTGGTCTGTAAACCTACCAGGCAGTTTAAGTAGTTAAGTTCATAATTTTATCCTACCTTCTTTAGAGTTGATATTTTAGTTAAAAAAAAAAAGGAAAGAAAATTATGTAGATAATTTTCGCATAAGTGTGAAATTGTTTTTGTTCTGTTTTCTAAGTGTGAGGGGAAGTTTAATATTAAAGTTGACACTCGATTGGGTAAGCTAAAAAATTAACCTGGGGAAAGACGAGATAGTTTTTTCTGGTATCAAGGATATTTATTTTTATGGTCTATATTTATAATAAGCATCATAAAATCAGATCTGGGTGGTTCAATTTCAACAAATAAATTAAAGAGGCATAATGGGGAAAATGTGACAAACTGCACAAATTAGTAATAATAAAAAATATATACTTCAGGTAAAGAAGACTGTCTTTTCAATCAATGTTTTCATTAAGCTACAGAATCATCAGAGTCACCCAAAATGAATTAAATAATTAAATCATTTAAACATTGCATACCTGTTATATCAATGGCATATATCAATGTATTAAATCTGCTGAAACTATGGATATTCTCTTTTTGGCTAGGAAATGAGATTAAACAATCAGAATGCTACTAAAGAATTTGTAACATTCCTTAACTTCCTATCGCATACAATATTCATATATTACCCATGTTGCCTACAGCTTTCTACTAAAGGTGCGATGCCTCTGAATATACAGATAATACTGGACTACCAAAACATCTTGTTTTGGGATGTATACATACAAGGATTGGTGTGTAGCTTGAATCCAACCTTTAAGGGGCATTCAGGCAACTGTTTAAAAAAATATATGGGCCTTTGGTGAAATGTAGTTATAACTTATCTGCTTTTCTCATTCAGGACAGTAAGGGGAAATGTCTTTTTTTTAAACTCTATAAGTAAGCAAGCATGATTCTAAAATAATAGAATCTTGCAAGGGTGACCCTCTCCCCCACCTCCCAAAAAAACACAGGTCCATTTCCTAGCCCCCAGGACCTCTGAATGTGACGTTATTTGGAAAGAGTCTTTGAAGATTAAGGTGAGGATCTCAAAACGAGATTATTCTGGATTTAGAGTGGGCTCTGTTTTCAATGACAGGTAAGAGAATGAATATGCAGTGGCCGGACCACTTATAAAAATAGAATTTTGACCCACAACCTGAACTAAATCACCCAGGAAACCACCATCCACCCACATATTATCTACAGTTACCAAACCAGGAAGCCATCTGTAAGATTAACCTGTAAATCAGATTTAGCACATTAGACGACTATCTCTAATAACAATTGAGGAAACCAAACAATAAACTCTGTAACAGTTGACCCAAAATGTTTGATTAATAACTGACAACTTCCCTAAGTTTTGTCCCCACTTCCATCTTGGGACCAACCAGAGAAAAACAAATACGCATTCTTAACCAATCACATATGGCACCCTGCTTCTAGTTAGACCACCGACAGCTTCCCGATGCCAACAGCCTCCACTCAGGCCACACCTGAAGATTTCCCTTTTTTCTACTATAAAGCTTTCCCACTCCTATGCCTGCCTTTGTGGCTGACTCACTTGCTCTAGCAAGGTGTGAATAAATAGCCTTTGTTCTCATATGGTTGGCCTTTATTTCCACACGGATGTCCTTCTTTGAGAAAGAGAGAGGAAGATTTGAGACCCAGACACACAGGGGTAGACCATATAAGGATGAAGCCAAAGAGCCCCAGTCATGGAACCACCAGAAGCTGAAAGAGGCATGGAAACTTTTGAAAGGAGAACGGTCCTGACAAAACCTTGATTTGAGATTTCTGCCTCCATAACTATGAGACTACATTTTTGTAATTTTAAGCCATCTAATTTGTGGTAATTTGTTATGGCAACCTTAGAAAAACAACAGAGCTTTTAAACAAAAATATTTGCATGTTATATGTCCTTTTCTGGAAGTACCATAAACCTTAATGTAAACAGCTTAAAAACAACTGTTCAGATTTTTTAAGTTCCTCCTGTTCTCATTAGAAAATTTACATAGTGATATGAGAATGTCGGGGGATTCCTCCAATGGTTCCCCTTAACGGTCAGGTACTATCTCTGCCTTCAAAATGCTCTAAATTACTACAAAGAAGATAGACACATAGTCAAATAATTAAAATGTAGGAAGTACAGTAAATACTGAATAAGTCTAATTACACTTAACCTCTAAACAATGAACTCATTCTATTTTTTATAAATCATAAGCTGCTAATTCCCCTGTCATGCTGAATGCTGAATGGTTAGGATGCTACTTTCTAGTAAGTCTGCCCACTTCTGATCCTACCAGTTGATTTGTACACTCTACCAATGAGTTTTTTGTGTATATTCTTGAGCCTGTTTATATCAGTTGTACATGTTACTGTGCTTTCATAACTTAATTAAATGTTATGTAAACCAACAAAATAGTGTGGGAATAGAACAAAATCTTAGGAAAGCTTAACTGATGGTTTAGAGGTATAGTTTATGTAAGAAATACAATGTAGAACTCTAACAAGCAGGCCTTGTGAAAAGAAAAGGCCTTGGACTTTCTCAATCCTGTGGCAAATGAGAAAATGGTTGTTTTAGGTTAAAACAAATTATTTAAGGTATTCTTGTCCTACTTTTTCATAACTCTCTGGTTTAACTGACTTTTCTTTTTAAAGATTTAGATAAATTATATACCAGCAACTTTACCCTTATAACATTTCCATGTTTAATCTATTTTTTAAAATTAATTGCTTGGCTATGGGTCCAGGTACCATCTATGAAAGGGCTTCTTCTGTATGAAAAAAATGATAAAAAAGCAATTAATTCTACTTGATGAAGAGATGGGAATTCAAAGAAGGTCATGTTTGAACTTGAAGAGTCTTGAAGAAGAAACAGGTAAGTATATAAAGATAAGGTTATTCTAACTTGAAGAAATACCGTATGTAAAGGATGAAATCATGTGGCCCTCCCAAGGAACAGCCTTGATTTTGAGTGGCTTGGGAATAGGGAACTTGTTTTTGCAATCCTAAATATGCATTTGACTCATCTGTAGAGATTAAAACAAAACAAAGCAAAACATGCCCAGACTTGACTCCCAGAGATTCTGTTCAAATGTATATCTCAAATGGAGTGTCTAGATTTATTTTTTTTCTAAAGTTCTACTCATCATTCTGAAGTACAGAGAACCACTGGAGTTGAGTGACTAGAGATGAGGTAAGAGAGTGTGAGGAGGGGAGTGTTAGGACCAGATAGTGAAAGAAAATGGTATGTCAATAATATAGAATGGCAAACTCTTGCTTCCCTGACAGCTTCCCTACGTTGAAATATTTATTTTTACTGCCACTACAGTAACATGAAAGAGAATGAATTCCTACCATTCTCTATTAAAACAGGGATAAATGTGTTAAACTGGCTTTCTAACTAAAAGACTTCTATTTTCCTTAAGGTGATATTTAATGTAAAACAAGCTGAGGTCAGAGAGTGCACCTTCTTAATCAGGTATACCATCTACTACTCAGGGATCTTAACAAATGGTCAGCAAAAATAATAAAAATACAAATTTTGACAAACACATCTGCCAGAAATACTGAATAGTAGGCTCCTCTTTTGTGTTGGTGATCCCATTCTTTAATCAAATAGAATAGAGCAGTCACCCCCTCCAAGTGCTGTTCTAAATTCCCAAGTAGCTAAGAAGATTCTCTTTCAGATAAAGGTTCTTCAGCCTTTACCATCTGAGCAACTATAAAATAAAAGGAAACTCTTCCTGCCATCATGACCAGTTCCATTGAAAATATCCTTTCTCCTACTCTTTGAATGTGGAATATATTCTCCCTTTACCATAGTATCGGTCTTTCACAAAATATCTGCTTAATTTTTAAAAATAAGTGGATGTTATATTCATTGAGGGGTGATAAAGGACGCTAATTTGCACCTTTATCACAATTTTAATGTGACTTCTAATTTTTTACTAGTGGCACATATTTTTAAAAGGGCGTACAGGACATCTGTCAGTACAAGAACTGTACGGTGTTGGTACAATCAGCAAGACAAGCGGAATCGAGAAAAAAGGGAAGGGATGTTAGACCAACTCGTTTTTGGAAATAAAAACGGAGGAAAAAAAAAAAAAAGAATCTTGGACATTACAAACTACCAAGTGCTAAGGCAATGCGGTTCTCAGGCCTGGGCTCTTGGTGACCGCCAGGCGTCCCAACCGCACACCTCGAACAGAGAACAGTCCCCACTGGAGGGAAGAGTGGACGTCGGGGGACGGCTTCCTGTCGATGGTGGGAGTCAGTGCCTTGGACCCGGGGTCGCTCCGCCGCCCGCGCCCTTGCTGGCCCCGCCCGCAGGCAGACCGCCCCGGCCTCCCGCCCGCTGACCGCCGGCTCCAGCACGACGCCCTTCTGGGCTCGGGTTCCTGTTCCTCTTCCCTCCGCTGGGCCGCAGGGAGCGGGCTCGAAGGGCCGCCCTGACCCGGAAATGCAGAGGCGACCGCGGGCGCGGCGCTCGACTCCTCCCAGGACTCCCCGGCGCTGGGGTCGGCGCGCCTCGTCCATCTGGTGCCCGCCCGACACCCCTCAGCCATCTCAGATCCTCAGCCCCTTAAACCCTCAGCCCCGCCGCCTCTGCACCGTGGCTCCGGCCGTCCGCAGACTGCGGGGCCCTCGCCAGGCCGATGCCAGGCGGGGATCCGTCGTCCGAGCTGAGGTGGGCGAGGTGGGCGGGCGTTCCTGCGGCCCACCGAAGCGCGGGGATCGGGCTTTGGATTCCACGTGACAGGCTGGGACTTTCCTGTTTCGGCGGGGCTCCGGGATGGGGTGGGGGTGGGGCAAGTCCTAACAGCTGGCCGCCGACGGAGTCCGCAGGCGAAGGTGGGCAGCTCAGAGGCAAGTACGGGCGCGCTGCCTGGGGTGTGCGTGAGAAGGCCGGAAAGTCCCTAAGGGGTGGGGCGAGGTCAGGGGAGATGCCCGGGCAGGTGGAGATCCGCGCCAGGCCGAGCCCAGCGCGGGGCCCGGCGGGGACAGACACTTTCTGTGGAACTTCACGGCCACCCTTACTTCTCTTAATGTTTTTTAAAACTGGCGAGATGAACTCGAGCGGGAGTCCTGTACGGTAGGGAGTGGAGGTTGGGAGTGGCGGTCCGAGAAAGCCTCGGGCGAAAGGGGTTCCCGGAAGCAGGTCACGAGAATCAGACGGACTGCCTGGTGGGAGGACCGGGTGAGGTGAGAAATCCTCGCGACGGGAAGCAGGTAGGAGGCATGTGTCCTGCAAATCGCAGTCGCTTTGGGGTAATTGCCATACCTGGAGTGTTGTGTCAATCCTGGAAAGTGATGTGTAAGTCGTCTCAGCTTTTATCTCTTAAAAACGCGATTTTAAAGTCCAGCTCCATTTAACGTACTAAATTTAAGGCTCCGTACTTCTTATGAAGGGATGTGATCTAACATGCCAGTTCTATCGGGATGAGTCGATATGTCACCTACGTTAATACCATGTAATTAAAAAACAGGACTTTAAGTCAACAGCGAACCCCCTGTTTAAAATTCACTATATGAAAACAAAAAACGAAACAAAAACAGAGGAATTGTTTTGCTGAGAAGATGTAATTTCAGGAAATAAATGAACAGATGGCTTTGCTTTAATTGTCGTGATTCTTCTAGGACAGTGAATTAGCTTTTCTGGGAGGAGTCTAGAGTTACTACTTTGCTTACATATTTAGATTAATGCAATTCTTTTTTTTAACCCCAGCCACAAATTTCTGTTGTAACTGTAAGAAGATCAATATAATTTTGCATTCTTACTCTAATATTTCTTTACAGGTGATTGGGGAGGGGGACACAAGAGCCTTCTTTGAAGAGCTTTGTACCCTTATTGAAGGATGGCAGAAGCAGTGTTGATTGACCTCTGTGGTTTGAAATTGAACTCTCAGAAAAACGAACATCAGACATTACTGAAGACATTGAATGCCCTTCGGTACCACCATGCTGCCAAGGCCAAGTTCTTTTGCATAATGTGTTGCAGTAACATCAGCTGTGACAGGAATAGTGACCATGATAATTATGAATTAGAAACAAGCAATAGATTATCAGCTCTCTTGAGAGAATTTGAGACTGTTAGCAATCCCAGTATGGCTGCGTCTTTGTATACCATTAAACAAAAAATTGATGAAAAAAATCTGAGCAGCATTAAGGTAATTGTGCCCATGCACCGGAAGACATTAGTGAAGGCTTTCATTGATCAACTCTTCACTGATGTTTACAATTTTGAGTTTGAAGATTTAGAGATAACTTTGATGGGAGGTCTTTTGAAACAGACCACTGAGGTGAACATTACCACAGCTCAAGAACTAGAAGCAATACAAAATGAAATAGAAACATATTTGAGAAGTCTACCAGCACTGAAAGGAGAATTAACCATTATCACATCTCCTTTGATATCAGGTATATAACACATTATCTGTTGTTTTCATCATGCATGTGAAAAACCAGTCGTTCTTTAGAAGTTGTTCACTTCTTTTTTTCCTTCTTTTGTAGACTGTATGGGCTTATGTGCTCATTAGCATCAGTTGCAACATGGGAATGTCATGGATTGCCTTGTAGTGTTAGGGATGTCAAGGGATATCAAAGGATAGTGCCTTCAAAGCCCCTTACATAAATAATTTTGCTTTATTCATACTCAGCTTTAAGGCAAATCCCCAGGCTTGCTTTAAAATAAGGTTTATAACCTTACACATTTCCTATTTAGCAATTCTGAAGCCTTAACTCATTGACATCATTACAGAAGAGTGAAATTTAAAACAATCTTCTTGATTAAATGATATTTACTATGAGCTATATGGTATTGGGAATAACAAAGACAAATGGGACAGAAGGTACCTGTTAAAGAGCAAGACTAGGGAGGGTAAAAGAAAGCAGTGTGTAATAATAATGCATGGAGGTGCAAAGTTCTATAAAAATTAGGTGCCAGATAAATGCAGGTTGAAGTGATCAGGTAAACTCTCACCAAAAGATAGAGTTTGTAATGCTTTTTACAGTGTTTTGTATAGCAGATTTTTAATCTTCACTATCTTCAACAGATATTTTCATACATGGATTTACTACAAGAACAGGTGGGATATCTTACATACCAACTCTCAGCTCTTTAAATCTCTTCAGTAGTTCCAGACGGAGAGATCCTAAGGTAGTTGTTCAAGAAAATCTGCGTAGGTTGGGGTGTGCTGCAGGATTTAATGTGAAGAAATTTTACCGAATAAAGGTAAAATTATGTTTCATATTTTGGAAGACCTAAAATACATTCTTGACTCTGCTAATGACTAATGGACCTTAGTGAAGCTATTTAACTTTTTTCGTCTGGTGTTGTATCTAAAACTTTAGGATAATGCTTATAGTTGTTTTTCTTTGACCTGTATACCATAGCCTAAAAATCAATTCCATATATATATATCTATATATATATACACACACACACACGCATATACTCACCTGGAGCTCTTCATATCTAAAGTACAGTTAACTCTCAGAGAGTATAGTACCACTGCCCTTTTTAACTTAGAAGGAAGATTCCTGAATTGTGGAAAAGAAAAGCCATTAATTTTTAAGTTAACATGAGGAGGAACTTAGGGTACAATCGATGACATAATGCTTTGTTTGTTATGGAATTCTAACTTTACTTGAGTCCAAGAAAAGTAAAAATATCATTGATTTAGTAATTAGTTTCTTTCAATGAATTAGTTCATTGTGGAAAGTACTTCACATAGAGACCTACCCATCTCTGGTAGGAGGTGTTTGTGCCGGGCAGTATTGAATTTTTAAATGTTAAATTCTGCTTTGTTTGAATAAAATATGCAGAGATTATAATACCAAAAGTGAAATGATAAGTAAATTTGGTATTTTATCTTATATAGAAGTGATATATTTAATGAACGCTAGTAATCTTAAACTGGTTATATAACTTTGTACAAAATGAATGCTATCAGAAAAGCTTATAGTATGAAAAGTCCTACTTTCACAACATTTTTATTACACATCTTTGGTATTAGACTGATCATGCCAATGACGTCTGGGTTATGGGAAGGAAGGAGCCTGAATCTTATGATGGAATCACCACAAATCAGAGAGGAGTCACAATAGCAGCTCTTGGTGCTGATTGTATACCAATAGTTTTTGCAGATCCTGTCAAAAAAGCATGTGGGGTTGCTCACTCTGGTAAGTAAACTTAATTAAGCATTTAGGATTTTACTTTTTTGTAGCACAAGAAAAATTACAGTATCTTTCTGGTAGGCATAACAAACAAATAAACAATTACTTTACATGGCGATAAGTATAAATATTGGGTAGTTTCAGCATACTCCTATTACAGAAGCAGATAAAAGGAGTACCTAAGTCAAATTATATGAATCAGTGCAGAATTCTCCCCAGGAAAAGTGGTACCTAAGCTGATTCCTGAGGAATTTATAGGGTTTGGTTAGGTGCCAGTGTTTCTCAACAGGGGTGCTAGTAATAACATTTTGGGCGAGATAATCTTACATGGCAGTTGGTTTGCTTGGCTTTCAAAAATTCCCATTTGTTGTGATTTTTAAAATTTAAAATAACCTTCATGCTCTTCAAACATTTCCCAGGGTGTGGTACTGCTACTGAGAAGCCCAGAAGTCCAGGCAATGAGAAATAGGAAGGTTAGGCATGTTGCAGAAAGGTGTTCATTAAGGTGTAGCAGCATGTGTAAAGGTACGGAGGTAAGAAGAAGTGAGAAATGTTTGGAAAATTGCATTTATTTTAGTATACTAGGGACAAAGAAGGGTTTTTAGATAATGTATTAAGGTTATGGAATTTTGTTTTTCTGGAAGTGTTTTAAAATACCATTTTAGATTATCCAGTGGTTATGTATCTATGTGAAACGAGGGATGATCTTTTGGATTCCTTCTACTTGTAAATCTGTGACTACTTTGCTTTTTAGGCCATAGATAAATAAGAAAGTGGCTGAAGTAATGGAATTGGACAACTAGAAGTCAGGAGTGCTATTTGACATTGCCAAAAGTTATTTAAATTTTGAATCTTAGTTCCTGGATATAAAATGTGAATGTTACTTTTTACTTCTTAGGTTTTGAAATATTGTTTTAAAATATCAAAGATAAAGCTGTCAAAATGAAACTATTAAAAAAAATTAAACATCTCACACTTCCTGATTTTACTTATTTTTTAAAAGATTTTATTTATTTATCTTTTAGAGAGGGGAAAGGAGGAAGAAAGAGAGGGAGAGAAACATCAATGTGTGGTTGCCTTTTGAGCGCTCCCTGCTGGGGACCTGGCCCACAACCCAGGCATGTGCCCTGACTGGGAATCAAACCCAGACCCTTTGTTTCGTAGTCCAGTGTTCAGTCCACTAAGCCACACCAGCCAGGACTGATTTTAAAACTTACTATAAAGCAACATTAATCAAAGCAGTATGGTTCTGGCATAAAGACAGGTTTTTTACACCCCGCCCCCGTGTGTGTGTGTGTGTGTGTGTGTGTGTGTGCGTGTGCGCGCGCATACCAATAAAATAGAATAGAGCGCCCAAAAATAAACCCTTGCATATATGGTCAAATGATTTTTGACCAGGACCTATGGGGAAAGAACTATGTAACAAATAATGTTGGGTAAAGTGGATATTTCCACGCAAAAAAAAAAGGAAAAAGAAAAGGATGGCAGACCATTATCTTATATCACATTTAAAATGGATCAAAGAAGTAAATGAAGAGCTAAAGCTATAAACTCATAGAACAAAGCAAGTGTAAATTCTTGTGATCTTGGATCAGGCAATCATTTTTTAGATATGGCAATAAAAGCATATGCAACAAAATAAAAAATGGGTTTTATCAAAATTAAAAACTTCTCTGCATCAAAGCCCACAGAATGGGAAAAAATATTTGCAATTCATATATCTGACAAGGTTAATATGCAGAGTATATAGAGAACTCCTATAACTCAACAACAACAATGAAAAACCAAGTAACCTGTTTAAAAAATAAGCAAAGTACTTGAGTAGACATTTCTCCAGAGACAATATGCAAATCACTAACAAGCATGTGGAAAGATGCTCAGCATCATTAATAATTAGGAAAATAAAAGTCAGAACCATATGATATATCACCACACACCTTTTAGGGAAGGGATTAACCAAAGAACATATATGCATGACCTATGTACAACAGTGTGGGGATTGCCTGAAGGAGTGGAGGTGGGCCTGGGTAGAGGGGAACAAAGGGCAAAAATTGGGACAACTGTAATAACATAAACAATAAAATATAATTTTTTTAAAAGAAAAGTTTTGGTGAGGATATGGAGAAATTGGAACCCTGATGCACTATTTGTGGGAATGTAAAATGGTGCAGCTGCTATGGAAAATGATATGGTGTTTCTTCAAAAATTTTAGAATATAATTACCATATTATCCAGCAATTCCACTTCTGAGTATGTATCCAAAGTAATTGAAAACAGGATCTGAATAAGATACTTGCACACTGATGCAGTATTCACAATAATGCATTATTCACAATAATAGTAGCATTATTCACAATAACCAAGATGTTGAATCAAGTCAAGTGTCCTTTGATGAATTAATGGATAAGCAATGTGTGGTATATGCATAATATGGATTATTATTCAGCTTTTAAAAAGAAGGCAGTCCTGACTCATGCTACACTATGAATGAACTTTGAAGACGTGCTAAGTGAAATAAACCAGTCACAAAAAGAAAAATACTGTATGATCCCATTTACATGAGGTAGCTGGAGTAGTCAAATTCATAGAAACAGTAGAATGATGGTTACCAGGACCAGGGGAAGGTAGAAAGGAAGATTTATTGTTTAAAACTTGTATAAAGTTTCGATTTTGCAAGGTGAAAAAGTTGTAAAGATTTGCACAACAATGTAACTATATTTAACACTACTAATTGTACACTTTAGAATGATAAATTTTATGTTCTCACAATTTTTAAAGATGTGGGGAAAAAGGGAGGGGGAGAGAGAGAAAAACTAGGAAGGCATAATACCAGTGGAAACTAAAAGTATAAGACATTTTTAAAAGGAAGTGGAAGGGACCCCTCTCCCCCATTAAATGTCTCTCTTATGTTTGGCACTATTTATAGTATACCTCATTTAAAAGCCAGTGTTTTAATTAATTGATTATTTAGCTTAATTAATTTTATGCCTCATTTACTGTTTCTGGACTTGAAAAAATATAAAATGACTGTGCTTATTTTTAACTTAGATAAAAATTAAGGTGAAATTTTGTTGTTTTAATTGGCCTTATCTCTCTTTCTACTTATCAGGTTGGAGAGGTACTTTGTTAGGTGTTGCTATGGCTACTGTGAATGCTATGATAACAGAATATGGCTGTAGTTTGGAAGATATTATTGTCATACTAGGACCTTCAGTAGGACCTTGCTGTTTTACTCTTCCAAAGGAATCAGCGAAGGCATTTCATAACCTTGATCCTGAATGTGTGCGGCTATTTGACTCATCAAATCCCTATGTTGACATTCGTAAAGCCACCAGGTGTGTGTGATTTCATTCCAGAACTGCAAGTTTGCTTATTGCTTCTAAAATTAAAATTAATTTAGAGAACAACTAGTAACTCTTAAAAAAAATTCAGGTGGAAGATATTTAAAAAGCAGACATATACATGTACACAAAAACTCATTTTAAATATGAAATATGTTATCTGAATTTTAATGATAGACATTTTGCTAGCTGGTATCTCAAATTTAAAAGTGAAGATTTAAAAGTGAAGATTAAACTTCATATAGAAAAATTGGCATATACTTTATAGCTATTTCTCAGTGAAATTCTCCTAAATAAACTAGAAGCTGATATTTTAAAATTATTGGTATTAAGTAGAAGAATGTATTTCTTAGCAAAAATATTAGATAATATAAACACATAGTCACTTTCAAGTTTCTTATGGTCCCTTGCAGTTTTGAATTTATGAAATTTTGCTCTTAATAGCTGTTAAAAATTATCTGTCCTTTCAACAAAGGAATATTGATGTCTGATTTGAATCATATATCTGTTCCACTCAGCAAAACCTTGCCTAGATTCTGCCTGATTTAGCACATTAGCAGAAAGGATTGAAATAGATTCTTAAATGTTACTTTCAGAATAAGTATCACTAATTTATAGTCATAAATTATAAAGTCTTTATGGAGAAGCAAATTTTCTGGGAAAAATTTGGAGAAAGGAGATGGGAGGGTCAAATGACTAAAAATCTTGCTCTGTCTGAATTAAATGAATCTTGTCTACAAATACCCTGGTAACTTTAAAGTTTCTTCTAAACTAATTACTGGATTTGGATTATCAAATTCTGTGTCCAGATAGTGTCTGCAAGACAATATGAAAGGTTGTATAGTTCATATAGGTGACAAATGGTGATAAAATCTGCCATTTCTTGACTAGTCCATGTTCTTAACTGAATAACAGTTTGAATTGTTCCAAGCATGTCTTTCCACAAATTCACACCAATATTCATACTTACTTCATATTGCTTTGGCTGTTGGTAAAATAAACTTGTCTTTTGAAAAATCTTTATCCTAAGGATTCTTCTAGAACAGGGAGGAATTCTACCACAAAATATTCAGGACCAGAAGCAAGATCTCAACCTCTGTACATCCTGCCATCCTGACAAGTACTTCTCCCATGTCCGAGATGGCCTTAATTTTGGTACACAGATTGGCTTCATATCAATTAGAGAATGAGGTACAGTAGGTTCTTTCTTCCTTCTCATCAATGTTCCTCTCCCTCTCCACTCTCTCCTCCTTCCTCTTCCCACTCTTCCCTCCCCTTATTTTAAAAAATAATTCTATTTAACTTTACTCCTTTATAGGAAGAATTAAATTTCTACGTTTTAGTGAAGCAACAGTGGCATAAAAGTTACTTTTCAGTGATATATTCTGATATAAAGACCAGCCACTGCTTTTCCTAGTTAATGAAGAATAATCAGGCAGGCATATGTTAAAGGTATTAAAATAATTTATTCTTAAAAAATATTCTGTATGTATGCACTTTATATCTTTTATGTAGTTGACACCTATACATTTCCTATCATAATATCCCATGTGTGTGTGTTTACTCTTTTATTTTTTTTAAATGTTTCATTTGTGTTCATTTCAGTTGTCCCAATTTTCCCTCATTACCCTCCTCTGCCCTGCCCAACCCCCCAACCCACATTGAAACCCCACCTCATGTCCTTGTCCGTGGGTCCTTTATACATGTTCCTTGACTTGACCCTTCCTCTTCTTTCCCCTATTATCCCCCTCCCCCCGACCCCTCTGGCCACTGTCAGTTTGTTCTTTATTTCCATGTCACTGGTTCCATTTTACTTCCTTGTTTGTTTTGTTGATTAGGTTCCCCTTATAGGTGAGATCATGTGATATTTGTCTTTCACCACCTGGTTTATTTCACTTAGCATAATGCTCTCCAGTTCCTTCTGTGCTGTTGGAAAGGGTAGGACTTTCTTCTTTCTGCTGCATACGATTCCATTTGTGTAAATATACAACAGTTTTTTGATCTACTCATTTACTAATGGGCACTTAGGCTGTTTCGAGCACTTGGTTATTGTAACGCTGCTATGAACATTGGGGTGCATAGGTTCTTTTAAATTGGTGTTTCAGGATTCATAAGGTATAATCCCAGTGGTGGAATTACTGGGTCAAAAGGCAGTTCCATCTTTAGTTTTTTGAGGAAATTCCATACTGTTTTCCACAGTGGCCGCACCAGTCTGCATTCCCACCCACAGTGTACTCGTTTTCCCTTTTCTCCACAATCTTGCCAGCACTTGTTTGTTGATTTGTTTATGATGGCTATTCTGACTGGTGTGTAGTAATATCTCCTTGTGGCTTTATTTTGCATCTTTCTCATGGATAGTGATGTTCAGCATCCTTTCATATGTCTCTGGGCTCTGTGTATGTCCTCCTTGAAGAAGTGGCTGTTCAGGTCCTTTGCCATTTTTTAATTGGATTATTTGTCTTCCTGGTGTGGTGTCATGTGAGTTCTTCTGTATTTTGGACATCAAACCCTTGTCCGAGGTGTCATTGGCAAATATATTCTCATATACAGTCAGTTCCCTTTTCATTTTGCTGATGTTTTCTTTAGCCATGCAGAAGCTTTTTAATTTTTTGTAGTCCTATTTGTTTATTCTTTCCTTTACATCCCTTGTTCTAGGGAACATATTGGTGAAAATATTGCTGCATGGAGTATCTGAAATTTTCCTGCCTATATTCTCCTCTAGGACTTCTGTGGTGTCACAGCTTATATTTAAGTCTTTAACCCATCTTGAGTTTATTTTTGTGTATGATATAAATAGGTGGGCTGAGTTTCATTTTTTTGCATGTAGCAGCTGTCCAGATCTCCCAACACCATTTGTTGAAGAGGCTATTTTTACTCCATTTTATGCTTCTGCCCCCTTTGTCAAATATTAATCGACCAGAGAGACATGGGTTTATTCCTGGTTCTCTATTCTGTTCCATTGATCTGTGTGTCTGTTCTTGTGCCAGTACCAGACTTTTTTGATTATAGTACCCTTATAATATTGTTTGATATCAGGTATTATGATGCCTCCTATTTTGTTCTTTCTCAAAACAGCTGAGACTATTTGGGGTTGTTTATGATTCCATATAAAATTTTTAAAAGATTTTCTCTGTTTATTTTTAGAGAGGGGGAAGGGAGGGAGAAAGAGAGGGAGAGAAATATGGACATGTGGTGCCTCTCATACACCTGCAACTGGGGACCTGGCCCACAACTCAAGCATGTGCCCTGATTGGGAATTGAACTGGCAGCCCTTTGGTTCACAGGCCAGCACTCAATCCACTGAGCCACATCAGCCCGGGCGGATTCCATATAAATTTTTGAAATGTTTGTTCTATATCTGCGAAATATGTCATTTGTATTTTAATAGGGATTGCATTGAATCTATTGATTGCTTTGGGTAGTATGGACATTTTGATGATGTTAATTCTTCTAATCCATGAACACAGTATATGCTTCCATTTATTTTTGTCTTCCTAAATTTCTTCAGTGTTGTGTAGTTTTCTGAGTACAGGTCTTTTGCTTCCTTGTTTAAGTTTCTTCCTAGGTCCTCTATTTTTCTTGTTGCTATAGCATGGGATTTGTTTTTTCCTGATTTCTGTTTCTGATATTTTGTTGTTGGTGTACAAAAATGCCTGGGATTTCTGAATATTGACTTTGTATCTTGCTGTTTTGCCAAATTTACTTATTAGTTCGAGTAGTTTTTTGGTGGAGTCTAGGGTTTTTTATGTGTACTATCATGTCATTTGCAAACAATGACAGTTTTACTTCCTCTTTTCCAATTTGGATGCCTTTTATTCCTTTTTCTTGTCTCATTGCTGTGGCTAGAACTTCCAATACTATGTTGAATAGAAGTGGTGAAAGTGGACACCCTTGTCTTTTTCCGGATCTTTATGGGCAAGCTTTTAGTTTTTGTGTGTTGAGTATGATGTTGGCTGTAGGTTTCTCGTATATGGCCTTTATTATGTTGAGGTATGCTCCCTCTACTCCCTCTTTGCTGAGTGTTTTTATCATAAATGGGTACTGTATCTTATCAAATGCTTTTCCCACATCTGTTGATATAATCATGTGAGTTTTATCTTTCCTTTTGTTTATGTGATGTATTATGTTTATGGATTTGTGAATATTGTACCATCCTTGCATCCCTAGGATGAATCCCATTTGATCATGGTGGATGATCCTTTTAAGGTATTTCTGGATGCAGTTTGCCAATATTTTGTTGAGGATTTTAGTGTCTGTTCATCAGTGATGTTGGCCTGTAGTTTTCTTTCTTTGTTGTGTCTTTACCTGGTTTTGGGATTAGGATGATGCTGGCCTCATAAAAAGAGCTTGGGAGTCTTCCCTCTTCTTGGAGTTTTTAGAACAGTTTGAGAGGGATAGCGGTTAGCTCTTCTTTAAATGTTTTGTAAAATTCTACTGTGAAACTGTTCAGTCCAGTGCTTTTGTGTGCTGGGAGTTTTTGATTACTGTTTCAGTTTCACTAGTTGTTATTGGTCTGTTCAGGCTTTCTGCTTCTTCTTGATTCAATTTAGGAAGATTATGTGTTTCTAGAAATTTGTCCATTTCATCCATATTGTCAAATTTCTTGGCACATAGTTATTTTTTGTAATTTCTTACAATTCTTTGTATTTCTGTGGTATTGGTTGTAATTTCCCCTCTTTTGTTTCTGATTTTATTTATTGGGATCCTCTCTCCTTATTTTCTTGAGTCTGGTTAAAGGCTTGTTGATTTTGTTTATCTTTTCAAAGAACAAGCTCCTGGATTTATTGATCCTTTGAATTGTTCTTTTAGTCTCTATGTCATTTAATTTTGCTCTGATCTTGGTTATTTCCTTCCTTCCTTCTACTCGCTCTGCACTTTGTTTGTTGTTGTTCTTGTAGATGTAGGGTTAGGTCATTTATTTGAAATGTTTCTATCTTTTTTAAGTAGGCCTGTAATGCTATGACCTTCCTACTCAGCACTGTGTCCCATAGGTTTTGGACTGTTGTGTGTTCATTTTCATGTTTCCAGAAATTTTTTTAGAAGATTTATTTATTTATTTTTATAGGGAAGGGCGGGAGAAAGAGGGAGAGAAACATCAGTGTTTTGGTTGCCTTTCATGAGTCCCCTACGGCAGACCTTGCCAGCAACCGAGGCATGTGCTCTGATTAGGAATCAAACCAGTGACCCTTTGTTTGCAGGCTGGTGTTCAATCCACTGAGCCACATGAGCCGAGGCTGTTTCCAGAATTTTTTTTTTTATTTATTCCATAATCTCATTGTGAACCCACTCATTGTTTAATAACGTGTTATACAGTCTTCATGAATGTGACTGTTTTTCAGTTTTTTCCTCAATGTTGGTTTCTAGTTTCAAGCCCTTGTGTTCTGAGAAAATGCTTGATATGATTTCAGTTTTCTTGAATTTCTTGAGACTTGTATTGTGTCCTATCATGTGGTCTTTGAAAATGTTCCATGTGCATTTGAAAAGAATGTGTATTTTCCTTCACTGGGATGAAAGGTTCTGTATATATTAATTAAGTTCATTTGATCTAGTGAGTCATCCAGTACCACAATATCCTTGTTGATTTTTGTTTGGATGATCTATCCATTGTTGGCAGTGGGGTGTTACAATCCCTTCCTATCAGTGTGTTGCTGCTATATCTTTCTTGAAGTCCTCCAAGATTTTCCTTATATATATGGATGCTCCTATGTTGGATGCATATATGTTTATAATATTTGTGTTCTTGATGTATTCTTCCCTTGAGTATTATGAAGTGTCCTTCTGTGTCTTTTTATGGCTCTTGTTTTAAAGTCTATTTTGTCTGATACAAATATTTCTACTCCAGCTTTTTTTCCCTGCCGATTTGTTTGGAATATTGTTTTCCAACTCTTCACTTTCAACCTGTGTAGGTCTTTTGTTCTGAAGTGGGTCTCTTGTAGACAGCATGTGTGTGGGTCATGTCTTTTTATCCATTCAACTACCCTATGTCTTTATCTTATCATAATACCCCTTTTTGAAAAATTAATTTTGTGGTGGCAATATTAATTAATAACCTTATATAAGTTTCGGGTATATGACTTTATATACATGAAATGTATATTCCATTTTGTGTTCATTACCCAAAATCTGGTCTCCTGTCACCATGAAAAAATTTGACAGCCTTTATCCTACTTCATTCAATCCCATCCCCACTTTCCCTTTGGTAACCACCCATAGTGTTGCATATGTCCAGAAATGATCTTCTCAGGTCATAACATTCTTCTATCTTTCTTAAAAGTTTTGTTTTTGTTTTTGAGAAGAAATCTTTGCATAAATATTCTAATTTCTAGAATAATAAATCCTCACATACACATACGATTTCCAACTGATTATCTACAGCAGGAGTTGGCCAGTTTTTTTTAAAGGGCCATATAGTAAATATTTTAGGCTTTGTGAGATATACAGCTCTGTCTAAACTACTCAGCTTTGCAGAACAAAAGCAGACAGGAACAATACAGAAACAAAAGGGTGTGGCTAGATTTCGATAAAACTTTTCCAAAAAACAGATGAGGGGCCAAGTTTGGCTGACAGTCTGTAGTTTGCTGACACCTGATCTACATTCTATAGAGCAATATTGAATGCAATTTTATTAAATTATCAATTATTAGACATTTTTTAGAGTTATATAAAAATATTTTATGACATTGATTTAACACTGACCCTTTAGCATATGTCTAATTTTCCTTAAGGTTACTTTTACTGAATTAATATTCTTTTTAGTCTTCAAAATGTCTTTAACAGTTTTACATACAAAATACTTTAACAGACTAAATGATTCTTACCCAAGGGATCTCATATTTGATTTCTATTTATTTTTACAGGTACTTGACTGGATTTTTGCATAACTGTCTCCTACCTCCATCCAAACTGACTGCAAGAGAGAAATTTAGTTCTTTGATTTACTTAATTCTGAAAGGATAACATGGATAATTCATGTTTAGGGTAAATTTTCACCATTATCTAACAATAACTGACCAAACAAAAATCAGTGTGATGTTGGGAACCATCCTGCCTGGTTTCAGGAATTGTAGCCTTGCTGATAGGTGAGGGGGCCCCAAGACTGGAGCTAATCAAGGAGGCCTTGGAAAGATGGGCCACTCAGGAGACAAAACCTGTCCCCCTGGCAGGGGTGCAGCACCTGCCTCCCTGACATCACCCTGCAATGACAGGTAAGACCCCTTGATGGCAAGGACAACTGAAGAGAGGCACAGTCGAATGAGATATCAGGAAAGAACTTGGGGGACACAGAGAAAGGGCAAAAGACCCTCACCCCTCAGCTTTGATATGGCCGGGGTGCTCATTCTATCTGAAAGAAGTCTCCTTATCTCTTGGGGGCTCTGATCCCCCGCCTGGCTCATGTTTGAAACAATACTGGAGACAGCCCTAGACTAGATCGGGCAGTTCCTGGGGGAAATCAGGCCTAGAAGTAAATTATACTCTTTGAAGCATGCCTTGTTTTTCCCTCAAAAGCTATGATAACCAGCTTATGCTGGGAAGGAAATTTACATTATTCACAGAACCAGACCCTAAACCCTTTGATGCTCTTATGTTTATGCTCGCATGTTTAACCCGTCTCCTTTCAGACCTGTGTAAATCGGTGTGTTTCTGCCATTTGTTTTCTTCAAAACATCATCTATTCTCTGTAACCATTAACATACTGATGTAATGAGATCACCTATACATTCCTACTACCTAGCCCCATTGATAACCCTTTCAATAAAAACCTTTGGACCCAGGGGCTCGGGGCCTTCTCCACTCGAGAGAAGTGCCACCCCTTTCCCTGGCAGGCAGAGAGAAAAGTGTCTGGGATGACTTATTTTATTTCCCCATCCGTGATAACCTGGAGGGTACTCTTGTGGGACAGAGTCCAACCTGTTCCTCAGTGTGATGTGTCTTATACATTTTATATAGATGAGGATTATTCTTAAAGTTTGTTCTGTTTGTTACATAAATCAAGAGTAGGTCTGTTCAGTTCAGTATTTATTGGGTACTCTCTATTTATAAGTCATTTTGTGAAACTTGGGTGAAATCAAAATGAGTAAGACTTTTTCCCTTTGAGTGTAATACAGAGGAGGAGAGAAACACTTCTAACACTTAAATTTAATTTTAATAGCAATAGAAGAGTACAGAAGAAGGAAGGATTAATACTATCTAGATGGCAGGATGTATAGAGAAAATATTACAAAGAAAATGACAGATCACATGGGCCTGAAAAATGTATAAGGTTTTGAGAAATGAGAAGCAACCATAACAGACTGAGGTAACACTATGAACTAGAACATGAAACTTTATAACATTCTAGAGAGAGGAGAGTGTGGACAGGAGTTACTGGAAAAACAAGTTAGAAATATTATTTAGGGTCTCACATGCTGTGTCAAAGAGTTTGGAGTTTATTTTCCAGGCAAATAGGCATAAAATATAAGGGAATATTTTTATGTTCTTGACATCACATTGAGGAAGGTTGATAACTTTCCAATTTTTTACTGTGCTTTATTTTGTTTGTAGTCTACAGATTTACAGAGTATTTATCATATTTCACTTTATGTATGAAAATATTCAAAACCCAAATAAAAATTGTTTGAAAAATTGTTAGTGAAAAGTCGTCTTCTATTTACTGAGTGAAAAGTATTGTTCAGAAACAAAGTGACTAGGTTAAGTAATCATATTGTATTGCCTCTCTAGGATCTCTGTCATTCTTAAGCGTTGTATTCAGGTTACTGGGACTTTTAGACTGCAACCACAATAATAATTTTTAGTGAGTTTTGTTTTCAATATAAACTCTGTTACTTACCTGCACATAGGAAATATCAATTGTACTTTTATTTAGAAGAGAAATTAAGTTTGGAGATCAACGGTTCATGACATGATTATTTAGAGGTACTAATTATCAAACTAAAATTTACTTAATTTCAATTTTAAATTGTGAAGAAGGATAGCATAGTGACTAAATATCCTATACACCATTGTTTTATAAAACACATCGAGAAAAGATCTTTCCACTAGGAGGTAGTATTTCTTCAAGTAGCTCTGCTCTTTTTTTAATACAAAGTTGAACCAGTCTTTATCTCTCTATTTACTTACACAGGAAAAAAGGAGAGCATTTAATGTTAATGAATGTGTTTCTCTTTAGATGTAACATTGTAATTCAAGTAGATAAAAGCATTCAGGAACCCTCACCCATCAGGATCTCAGGTCTACGGAATCCCCATTAACTGCTTTTCTGTAGTTGATTTCTTGGGGGGCGGGGGGGGGCTAATTTAGAGAAACTCCGTGTTACATGACAAAAACACAAATAATACCCATAGATTCAGAAGCTGGAAGATGACAGTGCCATCTGAATTACATTATTTTATATCTCAAAGTGGGGTTTCCTATTTGTTTTCACTAGGTTGTCCTTAAGTTAAATTTACAACATAGCCATTTTACTTTTTATGTGAACTCTTTGAGAATGCCACTAGTCTGTGGAAATCCAGCACTTTTTAAATTTTTTTTTTGTATTTTTTCCATTACCACTTAGTCCCCTTATACTCTCCCTCTGCCCCCTCACAATTACCACACTGTTGTCCATGTCCATGAATCAAGTCTAACACTTTAAAAGCACTGCTCAGTTATGTTTGTGTGTGTGAATGATCTCTGTGTGTATGCTAATAGTACACAAAAAATATGTATCTTCTATGTGTGATATATAGCCTCTTGCTCTAGCTAATGTAAATTCACACAAATACATTAGATGGAGTAGAATTATAGACTTCTCTCTAAAATTTTTGTAAACTGTACATTAAAGAATGGGAAATGTGGTCCATATGCTTATTATATGTGTTTATGGACACGGGTAGAATGTGTATATTTTCACTGTAGGCAGTGTTTCTAAACTTGTGATTTCAAAGACAATGCAGCTGCTATAAATAATGGCATTTTTCTGTGCTAGGTTGTTGCTTAATGAAGGAAAAGGAAATCTGCCAGTACTTTTTTCCTAACACATTTAGTTTAGTTTGCATTGAGACAAACTCTACACTCTCCTTAGATGCATTTTCTTTGTAGAGAAAGAAATGCTTACATCACGTTCCCTATGTCTTTATGCCAAGTGCCTGAGGTAAACTATGTCCTCTCTGTATCTGGAGCAAGCTCTTTTATTTAATTTTCAGACAGCTGTGGTATCCAGTTACTGTATTTTATTAAACAATTAAAATTTCCAGCAGACTCTATAGCTCAAAATACCACATTCCTTTCTAACAGCAACAAAAGAAGAGACTCTCATTTCATGGGAAGCATTTGTGGAAAATAAGTTTGTCCATGGTGACAATTGAGTTGTGAGTTTTTAATATCCTTGGTTTTCTTTATTCTTAGTTTTGCATCACGCATTGCTTTAGTTTACATCTTGCCAGCACTTCCCTATTCTTTTATTCTCTTAAGTATATGTTTTATACTTGTGTTTTCTTATGTGCTTCCCTTCATTTTTGTTTTTATAATTGATATTTTATACTCACAGGGTAACAATTCTTTGAAGTTTTCTACCTTTAAATACATATTAAGACTTGTCTAGAGAGTTGCTTGTTAGATATGTCCTACGGGCCTCTCAAAACAACATCATTTTTTCTCCAAAACCTGTTCCCCTCTGGCATGTTATCTCAGAGAATGAAATTATTCATGCATTTGCCCCTCCAGAAACTAGAGTATTTCTGAATGCCTTCCTTTCCTTCACCCCTTCCCTTCCTGTGCTATACTGACTCTAAATCTACAACTGTTCCTGTGTCTCTATCTCAGTTTCCACAGACAATTCAGATCATCATCTCTCACCTACCTCATTAGATCAGCTCTCTAGTCCTTCCTCATCAAATCCCTTCTTACACTGCCATTAGTGATTGCTCCAAAATACAAATCTGATCATATTACATACCTCAAACTTACTTTATGGCTTTTTCACTATATCCAAGATAAAGACCTGCTCTCTAGAGTGTGTAACTGCTGCCATAATTTCACCTCTGGTTACCTCTTCAATTTCCACCACTCCTCATTCTACAATATATATTCCAACCATTTTGTACTCATAATTTTTTTATTATTATTTCCTAGAGTATGCCAATAAGCTAGGTTAGATCACAGAGGTTGGTTTGCATTCAAAGACTGCAATCTGACAACTCAGATTGAGTTCAAGGCTGCTTTCACTTAGGCTTTCTACTAAATTAGCAAACAAGCAGTATCAAGGACATATACAATATATACATCCAAGTGAATGGATATAGCACAGTAGTGACCTCCTAGTTCCTCATAGAGATAAAACCAAAGTTCCGTTGTTGGTGTGGAATATACACAGTGAGTAGTATGTCACACCATGTATGAAGCTCAGTAGCTTTTGCTCCACTAAGCAGGATGAGGGGTCATGTTAACGTTGAGAGGTCTACCTTCTACCACATAAGGTAAGTTTTGCTATATTTAAAAATGAACAATTTTTCTTTCTGTGTCATTGGCTCCATGGTAGGTCCTGCCATGATCTTCCACAGCCATATTTACTCTTGCCTCCTTGTTTTGGATCTAATGCTGGTTCTGTATGCACAGCAATCCTTAACCACACTTCTCTTAAATAACTCTTTACCTTAAGAATCGGTTCAGAGCTCACCTCTTCAGAACATTTCCTTGGGCGTTTGCCTCATCAGCATCCTGTGCATTATTTTTTATAGTCCTTAGTGTACTGATTTTTAAATGTTGGTCAGTTTACTGTCTACTACTAAATATGAGCTCGATCAGGGGAAGGACAGTGTCTTATTCTTAGTTTATAGCAAGGACATTACAGTGTAATCATCTAATATCTATTGAAGGAAAAAAGAGGCAGGAAAGGAAAGAGATGATCTAATATAAAGTTTGGAGGATAAAAAACCGTTTTTGGGTTTGTGTGTGTGTTGTCAATTTTTAACTGGTACTTTTATAGTTCCAATATTTTGTTGAATTTATGTGAATAATAATGATACATTAAAGTAATTTTAAGGAAATAATCTTTGTAATGGATATATGTTTAACATCAGCCATGTTACTTTACCCATTATTAGACTTTCCTATTTCCAACTTGTGACAAATTTTAGAATATTAACAAGCTCAATCTGATCTAAATTTAAAGCTTCTCCTCTCCCCAGTTTGGACCAGAGAGGAACTGAGGAATAAGGCTTGATTTGTTCTCTATTTTTGCCATATTGCTCAACTTTTCCACCTGCTGTTGTCAGTTTTGATAGAAAAGAAGGATGAGAAATAGGCTGGTTTAGTGGGAGACTTCTTCAGCTTACACCCTCCACACATACATTTGCAGAAAAAGTGCTGTCCAGTTGACCCTTTATCTCCTACTTTGATGGTACACTCTACACAGCTGTTCTCTAGTCTCCTGGGTAAAATTTTTTAAAGACAATACTAGTCTAGCTATGGTACCTTAGCCTACTGGAAACTTAGCAGTTTTACCCCTTCAAATTCTGGGTCAAAGCCCTATCTCTCTTCTCTGTTATTCCAGGCAGTTCTAACCACTAGTCAGCCTCCTTTTTCAGACAGGAGAGCTCAGCACAGATCCCAGTCATGCAATCCCCAAACTTGAGAACCACGAGTAAGTTTAGTAAGACTTAAATGGTCTGCTTCAGATCAGTTGAAAAATCATTAAAGAAGACAATTTAGGAGACAATCTTTAATACTTCATGAAGCAGAAAGTATTCAGAGAGAACTGGGGCAAAATGCAGGAAGCTTTTACAGGATAAAGAATAAAGAACAGGAAAAGAAAAATCTTTTGGCTGAGTCACACAGTCAAACTTGTTTGGAGTGAGAAGGAACAAGGACCTAACTATAGAGTCCAGAATTTGCTGAGTGTTTGGGAATTGGCTGACTGCTTTTCTCATAGGTGGGAACATTTAAAGGAACAAGAAAGCCTAGTTTGCTGATATGGCACCCTGGGCAGGAGGGGCTCCATTTTGGGCCTGCAAATTTGTTTCAGTAACTCCCTGCAGCACCTGGTTCTGCTGGGGAGGTGGGGGTTCTTTTGAGGAGGGAAGGGAAATGCAGAGATTCTGACAATGGCTTTAAATAATTCTCACCAAATCTCCCCACCCCAAGAAGCTCTATTCCCTGCAGGCAGATGATAGTTTTAGGGTACCAGAAGTTGTTTGGGGTCTACCTCTTTGCAAATTCTGGTTTTGTGCCTGGATTCTCTCTTGAATATGAGACCACTGTTTTTACCTTTAGTCATTCATCAAAGACTCCACAACAGGGAAAAAAAATCTAATATTCTGTTAAAACCTTATGGGAAAATTACATCTTTAAATTTCCAAACTACTCTAGAAGAAATAAAAGAGAAGCTTTATTATAATATAATAATAATATTAATATATAATATATATTATTAATATATATAAAATATAATTATATATTATTATAATATAATAATAATATAAAGAGAAGCTTTATCTGCTTTATCTTTACCTTGTTTTTAATTCATATAATTTCCCTTATGTAGATTTTAATCTCTAAACTTCCGAAGATCACATCTGTTTAAAGTACATAAAGAAAAATCTGGCCTTGGTAATATT